TTTGCAGGTGCCATCCACATTGTTTTGTTTTTTTTTTTTTTTTTTTTCTAAGTCTCTCGCTGGCCTGGAGACCACAAGCAGGCTAGACTAGGTGTCCATGAGCCCCATAGACACTCCTGGCTCTGCTTTCCCGGCCCCAGGGTAACACCATGTATCTGATGTGTTACGTGGTTCTAGGGACTGAATGCAGGTCCCCATGTGTCATGGTTAGAATAAAATTACCCCCACAGGCTCTATGTTTGAATGCTTACTTAGTCCCCAGTTTGTGGAACTGTTTGGGAAGGATTAAGGGGTGTGGCCTTGTTAGAGAGGTCTGTCATTGGGGATGGGCTTTGACATTTCAAAAGCCCTCACCATTCCAGTTGGTTTTCTCTCTTTACCCCTGTCTCCAATTTTTAGATAATATATAAACTATCAGCTACTGCTCCTGTGCCATGCCTGCCTATCTGCTGCATGCTCCCAACCACCACCCATGGTGTTTATGGATTCTGCTACCCTCTGGATGTGCAGGCAACAGGCAGAGACAGGCCTCTGAAACCTCAAAGCCCCAATGACATACTTCCTCTAACAAGGCCATGCCTCCTTCCTAAACAGTCCACCAACAGAGGACGAGCCATTCAAACATATGAGCCTATAGGGGCCATTCTCCTTCAAACCAGCATCGTTGGCCAGAATTGTTTGACATCTGCTAAATTCCTCAGGCCTTCCACAGAGCCAACACTGAAGAAATCAGGTGTACCAACACAAGCTCAAGGTGAGCTCTCCCTCCTCAGATGATCAGTAGCTCAGCACTGAACAGACATTAACAAACGAAAGGAGGAAGGAAAATCCCAACTCACCATAGAAGAGGAAGGCCTTGGTCATGTGATGATGCTGAAAGGTCCGGTTAATGGTGAAGAAGCAAGCATCAGCCCCACACTGGCCAAGCCTGCCAGTCTCTCCAGTCAGTGGGGACCACCACAGCATAATGGGGTAGTTACCAACATCCACCATGTTCTTCCCATCCAAGGGCAACACTTCCTTTTTAGGAAACAGGTTGAGATGTTTAGGCTCTTCCACTTTTTTATATCCATCATGAAAGTTGGGATTCTTAAACTTCTTCCTTTCAAATTTCCCCAGCTCAACCACTACCTGAAAGTGAAGAGAACCAGTTTACAGAAGCTGATTCTTCCGTTTTGTTTGGCACATCTCCCATCCATCTTGATGATTTTGCTTCCTGTCAGTTTTCTGTAACAACAAACCAGCCCTCCTTTAAAATAACACACTTACTACTATACAGTTCTAGAGGTCAGGAGCTAGACATGGGTGTAGAGCCTAAAATTAAAGGGCCAGCAATCTACGTTCTCTACAGACAATGAGGGAAGGCCCAACCTCTTGTATTTTCTATCTTTTAGAAACAGCTCACAATACTTCCTTGGCTGATGACCCCACTGTCAATCTTTAGATCTATCGATACCTCTTCCCTCACCCCTGATACTGCTCTTCTTCCTTGTACCCAAATCCAGGAAAGGTTCTCTACTTTTAATGACTTGTGTGATTGCCTTCAACCTCTGTGGATAACTCAGGATAATCTCCTTTCTCGCTCCAGTGGGTACTGCTATCATAGAACACCAGAGGTTGATAGTCTCTAAAGAATAAAGATTTGTTTCTCATAGTTCTGAAGACTATGTTATCTAACACTGAGGAGTCCAGGAGAAAGAAAAAGACTGGAAGTTCTGGGGTGTAGCTAGGTGCTGGACTGCCTTCCCACTAGCTCAAAGCTGTAGGCTTCTTGCTGGCCCTCGCCCTCCCCCACAGAAATTATTTTGGAGCCAGAAGTGATGCTATATACATGTGATCCTAGAACTTAAGAGGCTGAGGCAACAAGATACCAAGTTCAGGGTCAACATGGGATACATAGTGAGACCTTGTCTCAAAAACATAAAAAAAGAAAGAAAGGAAAAAAAGAGAAAGAGAAAGAATCAAATTCATCAGCAACCCAACCCTAAGATAGCCCGGCTCCAGGATAGTGGCATCAAGTCCACAGCACTTACGAGTCCACCTCTAATCTCTGTTACAATGAGGACTGAATTTCCAACATAGACATCTAAGGGACACACTCACACCAAAGCAAGGCACACTGCATTAATGACAAAGTCCCTTCTGCCATGTGAAGTGACATCTTCACAGGCTCCAGCTCAGAACGTGGACATAGCTCCCAAATTATCTGCCAACCAGGGTTAGCCATTCTAATGGACACTCAGACACAGAGGATCCTGAAAGCTATCCCATAGCCCCAAGGGATGATTTACTAACTCCTTCACAGTGACCCAGAGAGGGTCTGCACCCTGTGTGGGAGAGGATACACACTCGGCAACCAATGGCAGCTCCCCCCTTCTCCCTCCCTGTCTCTCTCCCTCTCCCTCTTTCTCTTTCTTGCCCTAGCTGTCCTGGAACTCACTCTGTAGATCAGGCTGGCCTCGAACGCAGAGATCTGCCTGTTTCCGCCTCCTGCGTGCTATGCTTAAAGGTGTGCACTACCACTGCCCACCTGGGGCAGCTCCTTTTTAATGGCCTTGCTCTGCCTGGTGTGAGAAAAGGGCCACTGACCACCGTGCACCATAAGGAATCTGTAACTGTCCGTGGAAAGGGTAAAACTTCCTCAAAAGTACCCATGACAACTAAAATGCTAAGACCTTCTCTCTGAAAGCCAAGCACTGTTCCAGAATAGTAAAGCAATTATAATAGCTTTAAGTAACCAAAACTGAGTCAGCCCTTGCCAAGAGCTTTCTCAGCTCTTTCATAATGTAATAATGTGGCTCTTCCCCAAAAGCTTGAGGAGGGAAGCAAGTCAATTCTCAGCCCCAGACCCTCTCTACATTTGACCTTCCTTGCTAATGTATAGCCAATAACAAAGAGAAAAAAAGAAAAGGCTGTCAAAACTCCATGAAATGGAACTTCAAATACAAACTTTGTTCCTCGTGTCTCCTCTGTGAGGCATAAGTTCATTTACAAATAACAGAGGCAGTTTTAAGGAGAGCTGTTTCTACAAAACAGCACTTAACGTGTATGTATCCCTAGATATCATTGTCAGGTTGTAGAAAATACAGGAGACAGAGGATATTAAAACAAAACCCTAAGGATAAGGTCAACCAAATCCACAATCCAAAGGACAAATAAACTAGTTTCTTCAACAAATATAAGACACAAAATACACAGGTACAAAAGAAACCTGCCAAACAAACAAACAAAAAATACAAATGCAAAACTTCAGACTCACCAGACAAATGCAGTGTGAGGGGATGTGTTTCTTGAAGATTCAGTATCCCATTACGAAAGTGCTTTTTGCTGGGAGCAATCTAACATGCTGACTATAGAGGGTACTGAGAAACTACTATTTACTGTGGTAGGTGAGATAGCTGTTATATGGTTATGTTTTTAAAGTCTCTGTGCTGGAGAGACAGCTCGGTGACTAAGTGCAGTAACTGCTCTCCTAGACCTGAGTTTGGTTCCCATCACCCACATTAAGCAGCTCAAAACTTCTTGTAACTAACTTACGTAGGATCTGACACCCTCTTTTAGTCTCTAGGATGCTCTCAACATTCGTCAGAGAAGCATCTTTTTGCAATAGTTAGCTTTCAATGCAGAGATGTGTAAGTGGTCAAAGTGCTGAGAACAGGAGACTTGGTTCTTTCTCCACTTCCCAAACCCCAAGGCTCAGAGAACATCATGGAGGAGGAGGTGAAGAACGAAAGAGCTGGAGGATGGGGACGAGTGCTGTGAAATGTTCTTTTCTAGCCATGACAAGGCTATCGCACTCACAACCTCACAGCGGCTGGTTTACGTACAGGACATCTGCACGAGACAAAGCAAAACTCAGGCATAGACGGGGCAGGAGCTCTCCAGGCCCCACCCATTACTGAGATGCTATTGGCAGCTTGTAGCTGCTAGGGAGGAAGAATCATTCTTCTCTGTGGCTGCAACCACTTGCAGTTTCTCAGGCTCCAGTACATGGTCCTACACCCATGCTCTCATGACCAGCACTAATTACTTAGTAAATTATAAAGAAGAAAGGGAGAATCAAAATGACATCAAGTTGAGTGTTGCTGGGGCTTAAATCATCACTGTTCCCCATAATCTCCAGTGTTTGAACGTTTAGTCTCCAGTAGTGGCACTTTTTGGGGAGGTTTAGGATGTATAGTCTTCCTGTGGATGTCATAGGTTGTTCATAGTTCGAGATGTGAGCTCCCAGCTGCTCATCCATGTTCATTGCTGCTCTATTCATAATAGTGAGAGATTGGAAATAGCATAGTTGTCCATCAACTGATAAAATGGATAAAGAAAATGTGGTCCATTTTACAATGGAATAATATTTAGCTGTTCAAATGTAGCCCATGGCAGGTCAGTATCCAGGTGGGTTCCCTTGGGGAACAGGGACTGTCTCTGATATGAACTCATTGGCTGGCTCTTTGACTACCCCCCCCATTAAGGGGGAGCAGCCTTGCCATGCCACAGAGGAGGACAAGGCAGGCAGTCCTGATGAGACCTGATAAGCTAGAGTCAGATGGAAGGGGAGGAGGATCTCCCCTATCAGTGGATTTGGAGAGGGGAATGGGAGGAGTTGAGGGAGGGTGGGTTGTGAGGAGATGAGGGAGGGGGCTACAGCTGGGATACAAAGTGAATAAACTGTAATTAATATACAAAAATAAAAATTTAATTTAAAAAATATTTAGCTAGTAATAAAAATGAAATTATTAAATTTGCAAGCAAATGATAAAGCTAGAAAAAAAAATCATCCTGTGTTTAGTAACCAGACCCAAAAAGACAAACATATGTTTTCTCTTATTTGTAGAAGTTACCTTTTAAGCTTTTTATATGTGTGCCACAATTTGAATAACCACAGAGGTTAGGTACCTAGGAAGAGATCAGAGAGGAGAGGATCTCCCCCAAAAAAGGGAAGATACAACATAGTGTTATAGAGAGATAACAGGTAAAGTAGAGGATTAAAGAGGAAGAGGGAATAAAGGAGAATAAAGGAGAGAGTACGGGGAGAGACAATGAACACTAAAGACCCTTTGAGAAACTGTATGAAAACCTACCTCTTGAAGAAGCTTCAAAAATACATACATATATTAAAGAAAATACAAATGAAGTCACCCCATACAACAGGAGGGAGAATAACCCAATTACACATCTTATGCAAGTAAACCTCCAGTGCCAGGAAATAGTTGTCTTGTTGAGTCATTGTCCAAAGGGGTCCCATAGACACCCCAAAACACCACAGGCAGTTATCAAGTTTATTGGTTGTTCTTCAAACTAATGGGTGAGGCCCTATTACTGAAGATATTACTTACTCATGTCACTGAACACTGAGATATTGTCTGGTGATCAACTAGAAGCGCTGCCTCTATTGACTCATAGTCATGGTGCTGAAAGGTACTCTACACACTACCAAAAGAGAAATGGAAGGGTCAGTGTCGGCCAGTTACAAACCCTGTAACTTACAACAGCAACCTCCCACGTAATATAATGGAGCAGCAGCGGCACAAATGTTTTGGGAGTGACCCTCCACTCTTTAATTGGATTTAAGGCCCACCCCGTGAAACAGAATGCATGCCTGAGACCGCTAGGGTGTCCAAAGACATCAGACTGCGTGGGAGATGGGCCCATGGGGAAAACTATAAATGCTGCTGTCCTACTAAAGGAACATAATAATAAAATGATTCCTAATGACATATATCTGCACCTCTCTCAGCCCTCATTAGGGAAGCTTCTTCTGACTGTATATGGGGAGCAACACAGAGACCCACAACTGAACCATGTGGAAAGAATGAGTGGTTCATCAAAACCCTCTTCTCAGGAATCAGGGAGCTATGTGGAAGAGGAGGCAGAAAGAGGTAATAGAGAACTCCAAGCAAACAGTGTCTTCCAGAGAAAAACAATACTGATTCACATATTGACTCAAGCAGATGGGGACACAGCACCGAGACAGGAAAGTACACACAAGCTCCCAACCCTAAGCAAGAAGTTATCTGAAGTTGATGCCAGCTGGCAATGGGAAGATCAGTTTTCTCCAGTGGATTGTCATTAGTTCTATCACCCACATTCCATGGCAGGCTCCATGCCAGCACACACCAAACCACGTTCCATTGGGGGAGGGGGTTTGCTTCATTTGTTGCTTTTTTTTTTTTTTTTTTTTTTTTTTGTCTTATTGTTTTTTTTTTCTTTGTTTGATTTTGGTTTTGTGTTTTTAGGCTGTTTTTTGAAAGAGAACATAAAGTTGAATGGGTAGAGCGGTGGGAGGATCAGAGAGGCACTGGAAGAGGGGAAAACATGATCAAAATATATTGTATGAAATTATTTATTTTAATTTCTTTTAATTTAAAAAAATTTAAATGACTTGACACGGTGGCATATGCCTGTAGTCACAAGACTTGGGAGGTTAATATCAGGAAGATCCAATGCTCATGGTTATCCTTGTATACCAAATCTGAGGCCCATGTGGGCTGTATGTGACAATGCTAGAAAGAGAAAGAAAAAGAAATTATTCTTTCTCTCAACTGGCTATGGTGGTTCCTGCAATTGCAACGCTTAGGATCAGAAGTAGAAGTATCTGGAGTTCCAGACCACACTGGACTATATAAAAGAAACCTATAAAGCTAAATACACAGAGAGACAGACAGACAGACAGACACACACACACACACACACACACACAGAGAGAGAGATGGAGAGATAGAGATAGAAATAGAGAGAGAGAGAGGAAGAAAAGCAGAGTTACAGTGTTCTCCTTGCATTGTGCAGTATGAGCTCATTATTCTGGAAAGTTAAGCAAACATCAATTACTCAGAGTTCTGGGGGAAGGGGGAACTGGGGAGGAAGGAGACAGTAAAGGCCCAGCAATGAATCTGCTCTACACAACCCAGATTCCTGGTACCTGGAGTGTAACCATCAGAAAGACAGCAGCTGTCATGCACAGGCAAGGTGCCAGAAGCCTCCTCCTCTGAATCCGCACCATGCTGCCTGGACCCAGATGATTGATAAAGGGCTGGCCTGGCCACCAGGTGTCCTCCAGTCTGCCCACAGCCACAGACAACTTCACATGGAGCAACCATCTGGGTGCCAATTTCCTGCTGAGAGCTGGTCTCCATGAAGGACTGAGATCCAAGGTTCTGAATGGGCCTGGCTTGGCGCTGACAGGGAACAGCGTGCAGTCTTCTTAGGCTATCATCAGAGCAGCTGGAGTCCTCAGACAAGGCACCATCAAAAAACACTGCAACGAATGAACAGTCTTTTAGCCATAGTGAAGGGTTGATGAGCATAGCCTTACTGAGTAAAAAAAAAAAAAAAAAAAAAAAATCACAGAAGTCTTAAGCTAAAAGGAACCCTGTAGATCATATACCTCATATACCTAATCGCTAATTATATACATATACCTAATACCTCATCAGGAATAAGGTAACTGAGAACAGAAAGTTACCTAACTTGCTCAAGGTTGCAAAGCCCCATCAACTCCCAAGCCTCAAACCTCTCCGTAATTCCTCTGCCACCAGAAGATTAGATTCCAGGGGTACTTACATGAAGTTACTTCCTAGCCAGGTCTCAAAGAAATAAAGAAATAGATCACATGTTCGATTCTGAAAAAGTGAGGGGAAAAAAATAATAAAGGTTCAGGTTTTGATTAAAAGTGGGATAGTGGTCAACTAGAGAAACCATCCAGGCTCATCAAGGTATTCTGTTTACTGCATTCTGCTTGCTGAGTCTTTTGTGAAAAGTACAGCAAAGTAGTGGGTTATGTGGCCAATATGAATTTCTGGAAGCTTCATATAAGATTTTCATCTATCTGAACTGACTGATCTTTTTGGTGTTTCTGAAACAGGTTCATGAAGCCAGGCTGACCTCAAATTAACTGTTAGGGCCAAAGATAGCCTTGAACCTCCTATTCCACCTCCTAAATGCTAGAAAAGGCATCCACCAGCATGCCCAGATTTCTGAGGTATTAGGAATGAAACCCAGGCCTTGTGTATTCGAGGTAAACTGCCTATCAACTGAGTTACACTCCCACCCTCCTTAGAAAACATAAATAAATTAATGAATAACTTTTAAAAGGCACAGAATAGGCACACTGAACGTCTTTTATTCCTAAGATGCCATAACTCCAATATCCTGGGCAAACAGTCCTGTGGAGGCAAAAAGTGGAGCAAGACTAGAGCATAGGAGAGCTGAACGGTATATCAAGGGCTGGATTCCAAGTATGAGTCACATGTCTCCAGGATGCATTAGAGATAAACTAGAAATACAATGATGGGACAGAGTTCAGGAGAAAGGCCTGTATCTTAACAGTATCTTAACAGCATATCCCTCTCTCATGACTCTCTTCATTTTTTTTAATGTGCATGTGCTTGTTGTGTCTCTGTGAAGTCGTGTGTACATATGTGTGTATTTACACCAACAGAGACCATAAGAAACACTGGATATACTGGAGCTAGAATTATAGGGAGGCTGTGAGCCACCCAGTGAGGGAGCTCAAAATTGAACTCCAATCCACTGCAAGACCATCTCTGCAAGCCCTCTATTGATTGACTTCTAAATTTAGGATATTTTTTCTTCCTCAATGGCACAATGATTCTTGGCTTCAGGGGGGAAAAAAAAAAAAGCATTTTTCCTCTTTCACCCATGGAATTCCCAAAATAAAATATCTAAGTGGACAGGCTCTGGTGCCACCCTTCCAGAGTCCAGTCTCAACATCCCAGCTGGCTTTACCTAAGCTCTCAACACTCCAATTTCTGAAAGCACGTAATGGCAACTAGCCAGAGTTCCTGTGGCGTGACATGAGACTGATAAAGCTTACTCATCAAAACAGGACACAGAGCCCACCATGCTCAGTAACTATTTTTCTTCTATTATTTAAATAGTATTCATGTTATTAAAACTTTATAGAGAAAGCAAAGCTCAATTCATATAATATGCAGCTGCCTCATCAATTTGGAACTGCAAAAGGAAAGAGGAAAGGCAAAGTACCCCCTAACATTTGAAAAAAAAAAAGGCCTCAGGAATGGGACCATTGCAAGACATATAACATGCATGAGGAGATTCAGTCCTCCCCCAGTTCCAGGATGTCCCAGATATGATCCTCATCTTCAAAGGAGAGAGAGCTGAGTGTGAAGGCAGCAGAGTAACTGGCTCAAGACTATATCCCACCTATCATCAAAGAAACAGCTCTTTTGCAACAGACCATTGGCGGGGTGGGGGCAGCATAACCAATCAAAATGCAGAGTTGTAGAGCCCAGTCAGACCCAACATTGTTCCATCCACAACACAACTCCTGCACTAAGGCTCAGGATCTTTGCAGAAGAGGGTGCCAAAGGATGGTTAAGAACCAGAACAGGAAGCTACACCCATAAAGTCTCACCAACGTGGCTGCCTAAACACGACCTGAACAAAGATGACAGCAGACATGCTAACATGGAAGGAGAAATTAGGAAAAATAGTCCTCCCCATGAATGGGCCCTCAAGTTGGTTATACAACACCAAGTGGTCATCCCTATACATGCTAGTAACAGAATACAGACTGAGAACGTGGTATTTTCATGTGTGTATGAAATGTAGATGTGTAACAGCAATTTAAAAAGGAGTCCATGAATTTGAGAGAGAGCAAGGAGGTACATGGGAGGGGTTGGAGGAATGAAAGGGAATAAGAGAAATACTGTAATTATAATCTCGAAAAAATAATTCTCTTGCAAAATCGTATGTTTAAGAAGTACTACAAAAAAGAAAAGAGTTTAGCTCTGAAAATCAGGTAATCTTTCCTAGTTTTTAACATTAATACAGTAAAATTCACAACTAAATGATGCTAACACAGAGAACAACCAGCCCTGTGTAGAACAACTGTCAGCTGGTGGGTCAAAGAGTAAGGGAACAGAAGGCTCTAAGAACCTCAAAAGTGCCCTGCAGGATTCTATTCAGCGCATATTAATAGCTATTAACTACGTGAAATGTGCAGCTAGCATTTAGAATTCAGATTCAGGTTCTACCATTCAAACACAATATAAATTAGGAATAAATTTCATCCTTTCCCTTGCATGACAGAAATATTATTACATTTTCATTTTATGTGCAAAAAGTAATTTACTATAGCTATAGCTAATATGACCCAGATTATGAGTGAAATATTGTCATCTTACATGGGAATAAAACTACATCATTTTCAGGGCAGCAAGGTGGGTCAGTGGCTAAAAGCACTTATGCAAACCTCCAACCTATGTTGGATCCCCGGAACTCATGGCAAAAGATTAGAAACAACTTCCAGAAAGCTGTCCTCTGACTTTTAAATGTGATTGCTGGCACACACAGCCACATTTGTCCCACACCAAACACACATACAATCATCTAAATCATTATAAGTAAAATGAAGAGTATATCATTTCCCAAAGAGTTTCAAATCTGTCACTTCATTCAATCTTATTTGTAAACACTTTGAAAAATAAGACAAGATAGGTATTGCTAATTCCAGTTATTACAAAAATAAAACTAACCCTTACTAAATTTGAGCAACTGGCTTGGGATCATATTTTTAGAAATAGGTCTAGAAATCAGGTCATGTGCTTCTAAGATCAATAGAAAGGAGAGAGACACCAGAAACGTTGGTAGCTACTAGAGGGCTGAAAGTGTCAAGAATAAAGGGAAACAAAAGCTGAAGAGAGATTTGGAAACTAGTTTTGGGGACTTTTTTTATAGCTAATATATCTCAGGATAGTTCCAGGGCTTTTTTGAGGGGGGGGACAATTTTTATATAGTCATATCAACTACCAAAGAAGAATTCAAGAGTACAAATTCACTTGCATGTTGAAAACAGTAAGTTAGGTCACTGCTAAAGCCAAGGGTGTAGTAAGGAGTCAGGAACCTGGCTGTGTTTAAATATTCACCACCAAAGAGCGGATTCCAGTATATGATTTACACTCTGTAGCAACCTGCCAGGCTTCAGGGTATATTTACAGTAATAGCTGTCAATTTAACCCATGCTAGTAACCAGCCTGGAGCATGCCATCAAGTTAGAAGTCCTCCAGCTGGGGAGGACAGATGGACCCACAGAGAGTGCCATCAAGGCCCTCAAGCTCCAATGTAATGGCACTCCAAGAGGGAGGCTCCCCTCTGTTTGTTTCATCATTATGGGGTGACCCTCTGAGTCCTTCAGGGCAATGCCCCATAATATCGTTTCCAGGACACAGGGATGCATCCGTTCATAGGCCGTGGTATGTAACATATGAAATGCACTCTGACTAACCAACCAACCACATCAGTGAATTGTCTGTGTTTGGAATTGCTACCTTTCTTGTTGCTGCACCAAAGTATGTGGCAAAATCAACTTGAGGGAGGATTCCCTTTGGCTCACCGCACAGTGGAGAGGGCACAGGAGTGGCTTTGTGATGTAGCCACTTCCTCCTTTCCACCAACACCCAGGATGCTGCTGGCCTCATGCAGGGCAAAGGCAAGTCTTCTCTTCGTAACTAAACCTTTCTGGAAACACCCTCGGAGACATTTCCAGCGACATGCTTCCATGAACCTGACAAGCAAGATGAATTCTCACAAACCTATGTTCCTCTCCTCTTCCCTAGCCCCACTGACAGGAAGTGAGGCAAAATGACCCTTCTGATTAGTTCTCCATTAACAGCTGGGGAGTCAACAGCAATTGTCTTTACTGGGCTACAGCTTACACCCGGGAGGGGTTTCAGAAGAGTCTAATTACCAAACCTAAATTGTAATGCTTAATTTCTCAGATAAACTTGGTTCCTAAGAGGTACTGTCACTTCATGATGCATAAATCTCCAGCACACCCCTTAAACCGTGGCTGTCCTCAGAAAGAAGTGACACAGTAGGCTGGTGGGAATGTGGCTTTTCAAGCACCTTTTACTGCCTCCTTTCAACTCTGCCACATCAAGACTCCTCATTTACCCCACCGTGGTTGTTCTCAAACCCCCCCTAAACTCGTGTTCTTCCCACAATCATCCATGGTTTGGTTTGGATTCTCCACTCAGCTAGCTATAAATTGATATCTCGAGAATGAAAATTTAATATCTTGCCTGTGACTGATGTCTGCCCACACCTTCGCAAAGGTTCCAGTTCCAAATGTTAGCTAAAAAGAGGCTCAGGTAAACAAGGTGGTACATGACTGTAATCCCAGCACTGGGAGGCAGAGGCAGGTGGATCTCTGTGAGTTCAAGACCAGCCTGGTCTACAGCACATGTTCCAGTACTGCCACGGCTACACAGAGAAACCCTGTCTCTAAAAACAAAAAACAAAACAAAACCTGAAAAATGCTCAGGTATGTGGCTCTAGCTCAGTGGTAGGGTGCTTGCCTACCATACAAAGGCCATTCCATGCCCAACACTGAAAAAGAATCACAGATGTGAATGTCACTCTATTTCTCCAGCTTCCTTCCACAGTCTCTTCCTCGGGGTCCTGTTCCTGTCGCTCCCAGGACGTAACTTGCCTTTTCTGTACTGCTCAGCCCTCTTTGAACACCGCAGTGAAACATCTCTTTCACTGTCCTACAGATCCCCCAAGACTTTGGGGCGGGGGTGAGGCTGAAAACTGAACAAGGGGCTTCAAATACACTAACCAGGCCAATGATTTACTGCTGAGCTACATGATTAACCCGGTTTGCTTTTTTGTTGTTTTATTTTGTTTTGTTTTTGTGTTTGTTTGGGTGGTTTGTTTTTGAGATAAATTTTCTTTGTGTAGCCCTGGCTGTCCTGGAACTCACTTTGTAAACCAGGCTGACCTCAGACTCAGAGAACCTCTTGCCTCACCCTCCCAAGTTCAGGGATTGAAGCCGTGAGCCACCAAGCCCGGCTCCTTGCTCCTTTTTAGTAACTCAGCATTATTTTTTTCAGAAAACTGAAGTTTTACATAGCCTTTAAAAATTTATTTAGAAAGCATGTAAAATAAACTTATTTAATTTTTCAAAAGCCCATTTTAGGAAATATATATATTCATTAATACTTGTCACTGTAATCTAAACAAAAAACAAATAAACAAAATTCAGAAGTAACTTAGGGAAGGGAAAGAATTTATTCTGGCTTTCCATTTCAAAGAATTTCAGTTTATCATGGTGGGGAAGGCATCACGGACAAAACAGCTCCCTCCATGGTGGTAGGAGCACCAGGTGGTAGGTATGCCCACAAACCAGAACCAGTGCTAATATCACCTTCAAAGCCACCTTCCATCACCAAGGCCCCACCCCCCAAAACAGTGCCAGTAGCTAAGGACCAGTGTGCCAACATGAGCTTGTGGGAGAGGGCATTTGGTGTAGAATGATGAAACTGAATAAAATGGTAGGTTTCTCAGGACTATCAACTCTATATATGTATAAAAGCACTTAAATACAGGCTGGGAAGGTTTTTGTACTATGCCAGATTTATGGGTACATGAGTAACATTGGCCAAATTACAATATTTCCCTTTGTTTCCTACAGAGGGCTTTCTGAACGTTGTTTATGAAGAAGAAGAAGAAGAAGAAGGAGGAGGAGGGGGAGGAGGAGGAGGAGGAGGAGGAGGAGGAGGAGGAGGAGGAGAAGAAGAAGAAGAAGAAGAAGAAGAAGAAGAAGAAGAAGAAGAAG